AGCCCGGGGGCTCGGGCAGCAGCGGGGAGCGCGGGCGGCACAGCCCGCACCAGCACGGAACGCGGTACCTGCCCTGACCCGTGAGCATCTTCATCCAGCCCGGAAGGGGGAGAGGCGAGAAGGCGCTAATTGTCCAGCCAGTATTCGCTAACACAAAACCACAGCACGTGGGAAACTCCTTCTGTACACAAAAGGCACAAATGGACCGGAGGAAATAACAGGACACCAGCAAAACATCTCTTGCAAGTCAATTTCTATTCTTAAGCTCATAAATGATCTTATCCTATGAACTTGGCAAGTGAAGTTCAGCCTCCCAGAGGAAATCTTCACTTGTAACCACATCCCTTCAATAACAGGTCATGGTTCCTTTTACAGTAGCCGTGAAGAGACACAACATTCACCACCACTGACCTAGGAGCAAAATCAACTAAACCGAACTAAAGAAGCACATAGTGCTAAGTTCTCCCAGCATCTTCACCAACAGAGACCACAAAACAGACTGAGGATGCTCTGCTGGGAGATGGAAGCACAGGAACCTGCAAAGTCACATCCTCTTTGCAGACACCAGAACTGCAAAGTGCCAAAGGAGACACAGCTCAGGCATGTATCTGCTCTCCTTGAGCTAGGAGTCCTACACAAAGAAGAGGATCATCGCACCAATTTAGTGAAAGGAAATGTCAGTTTCAATAACACAGGGTAATAATTACTTCCCATGGAAATGGCTGTAATCCGTTTTTACCAGTGCAAATGGAGTGTGAGCCATTGGCCCCTTCAGGTTTTAAAAAGGAGAAGCAGCATACTTTTACTTTAGCACACAACATAAAATACCATATAAGCTGAACAGACTGGTTAAAGCAGATCCCCCAACTCACACTCTTCCCTATCCCAGGTCTCATGATCCTGACTCACCCGGTGCCTATTGCCTCTCATTACGTGCCATGTGATCTCTCACCACTCAGCCCCTCCTGCGGAGCTCCTGGCTGGAACATCTTGTCACTGTGATGAAAAGCCGGTCAACACTATCACCTCCCTCACTAGTTTGCTTTCATTTTTGTGCATGGTGTCCACATGCTACAACAATTGCATCAGTAGTATCACAGCTGCTTTTCAAAGCACAAGGAAAAATCGGGCACAAGAATTATAAAAAGCTCCCTCTATGTTTTAATTCCTAGTGTAAGTTTATTTTTTCTGCAAGTAGAGCATTATCTCAATTAGGAACATCTTGATGAAGATACTTGAAGTCAGGAAAATTCAGCTTCTACACACCAAGAATCATTTAAAATTTATGCAGATCTCAGACCTAAGAGTAGAGGCATTTTCTCCTGCTTACCAAGTCTTCAGAGTAGTCTACACACTTTATTTAAAAAATACAATACTTATTTTGAAAGAATGGGTATAAATGTGAATTAAATCTTCCCTGCCTACCTAATCAAAAGTAACAATCCTGCAGGGTTTCTGCTTTTTTGCATTCTAGCAAGCCAGCTTGCTGATGAAGCTTTCCTGACAAGCCACAGAGCCCACATGTCCTAAAAGAAAACGCAGGGATCAGGAGGGGCAAAGATCTCCTTAGCAGAACCAACACATCTGACCAAAGATACTGTTACTGCAACTCCCTTGCACACATACTTCACTCACACACACATCTCTTCTGCTGCTTTTAGCCACCTCTTCTGCAATCACCATTGTGGCAGCACCTGTGTTTGCTACAGCCCACGTGACACCCTGGGAGCTGGACTCTGATACAAGTTCTCCCTGAGGCTGCAAACAAGGAAGTGACAGCACACACCTGCTGCATGCTAGGAAGCAGATGCTACCTGCCAAGGATACAGAAACTCTGCCAAGCAAATGGAAAAACAAGAACAGCTAAGCAAGGGGACAGCAAGCCTCCTCTGGAATTCAGAACAACTACAGGGATGAAGAGGTAGAAGGCAGAGAAGACAGCCCAAAACCACTGTAGTTGTTAGCTGAAAGCAACAAACTGCTACTACCTGTAAATTATTAATTTATTAATGCAATTAGGGAACTGTTTAGATCTTCTACTTTTGCTCAGAAATTTATTATTTGCCCTGTCTCTCTTAGCTTTTCAAATAACTGACTTTCACTCTACTGTCAAGCTTAACAAGAAAAAGAGATCTACTTGGAATAACTGCATTATAAATAACATGCAATAAAGAGCTAAAGAAAGGGGAGAGAACTTTGTGAAGAGGCTAACACTTGCTCATGTGAGAGAACAGGAAGTAAGGAAGTGGAAGGACACAATGTAAGCCTTTCTACTCTTCACCTAGCTTTTATTAAATAGTACATACAAACTTCTTTTGTGCTTTCAGTAGAGAACATTTTTCCCTATTTGTCTCAAAAAGACCAAGTAACCCAAAACAACAGGATTTAAAATAAAACAAGCAACAAAAACAAACAAAAGCACTCCCAAAAAAACCCCACCAAAACTAAAAATTAAATAGCAAGCTTCCTGTAGCTTTATTTCACATAATTTCCTCTCCCTAAAAGGACACGAAGGTAACATTTGTTTCCTCTATATCAATTAAGCATAGCAAATTAAAAGTGTTTTATAATTAAAGATTCTACCTGTGGTCTGAAAGGCATAGAAGAGCTCCAGCAAGTCTTGCAGACTGAGGTGTTAACAGCCACAGCTTTTCTCTCCTGCCCATCCAGAGGATTTTCTGCCCCCACAGCACAGCTAGCAGAAGATGCTCTGCACTTGTGCCTCAGCTACTCTACTGTAAAGTGCCATGTTTCAGCATAAATTGCTGATAAAGATGAACTAGAGCTAAGCTACCAGACCTTACAGTGGAATTAATGAAGTACAGGCACATGTTCACTTCTGCTGACACAGCTAAGTGAAGAACCAGAACTGACTCCCTATGCTGTTCCAGCAGCAGCTACATCAGTTCCTTAGAAGTCCAGAGCTGTGCTGCTGCTTGCCCAGTGATTATCAGATCTAACGGTCATGAACCCAAATTAGAGCTTTTGTCATACAGTCCTCAGAGGGTTTCCACATGTAAGTTATTTCAAGTGATGCCTCTATAGCCAAGCACTGAATAGAAGCAGAACACTGTCCAAAAGCTTGTCTTCATTTGAAAGTGAGAAAATAAAGAAATTATATAGAGCAGAAATCTGTGACTTGAACTGAAACACCATGATCTCATTAGAGTACCTCTTGGCCACAAGGCCAATCTGGATAGGAAAACCCATCACCAAATCACTTGGAGGAAGGCAATTGGGAGGCAATTCTAAACAGACACCAAGGACAAAACTATCCCAGCACTGTGTACTCCCATCAAAGCCTCTTTCAAGTAAGGTAAGCAGTGCTTGCACCCTCTAGAAAGCAATGCCATCTTCTCATGGAAGAGTGCTGACTTCTCAGTGGGAGATGTTGTATGTGCACGGAAAAGAGTTCTGCTGAAATGTCTAGTTAATATCTGCTTAACGAGTACTCAAGCACCTGTGGAGCACTGCAGGAGTGGGTTTGGTGATGGTTGTTTTTTTTTAATTAAATCATGCAACACACGGAAGGTAGGGCAAATGATTTTTCCAGGCATCCACCACATTGCCGGCAATGAGATGTGCCACAACAGCAAGTGTTACCTCTATGCAGTTGTTACCTATAGGTCAATGGCATTTAAAATAGAAAATCTTTCTTACACAGTGTTATGAATAAAATTGCACTTGATTTTGTTAAAAACTCTTATCACTGTAACTTTTCCAAATATTTCCTTTCTGGCATCTTCAATTTCTTCATTAACAGGAGCTTCTCTCTGAAAACCTCCCATTCACATTGAACACAGGGCATATAACAGAAGGACGCCATTATCTACCAGAAAATGGGTCTGTTATTTCTTCACTGCTTATTTCTATCTGTCCCTACCCTCCCTCCAAAAAGGTACAGACAGTTCACCTCTAACAAGCAGATATTAGGAATTTTAGTTTCACAGATTAAATATTTGAAAAGTTACAGAAGGTGCTGGAATAGTACACATTTAAATTGCTTAAAAATCCAAACTTGCAGCAACTTTGTAAATTCAAATTTCCAAAAGGCTTATAATGTCCTTGTGAACTTCTTTCACATCAAGACGCCCTCATGACACTAAAGCATCAAACTTCCAAGGCTGAGATCAAGAAACAAATCAGCAGGATGCACTTGCTCCACAAAGCAACTTTAAGAGAGGCGTCTCCACTTCCAATAGCAAAAAGCTACTCCTTCATTCCATTTTGGACCTTTCAAAGTGTGTAATCATTCTTTCCTGGAAAATAAAATACACAATGTTGTAAACTCCCCCAGTAGGTTTACAGCACATAGAAACAGGGTGGTGTGCTTTGGACATTCAAAACAAATGCACACTCATACATTTTAAGTCAAGAGTCCAACTTCTAACAGCAGATATACCACTTCTTTTAGAACACAGATTTAGAATACGTGTTCATATTCTAAGAAATTGTATCATGATTGTCCCCACTATTCTCCCACCATCCTAGTAGTATTTTACTGCTGCATTGGCAGAGAGTTCAATTCTAATAAACCAAGTCCTTAACAGTTGACTCATGACTCCTTTGGCATGTCAGAAGATTAATTTGAACTGAAGATTTGTTTACTGACCTCATCTGAATCTAGAAGAGCTGGAAGAGCACTGCAGTGGGGGGAGAGAAAATAAATAAATAAATAAAACCAGTTAAGAGAATTAGAGCACCTACAGAGAGCATATTATTGACAAACATTTTCAGCCTTATATTGCACCTTAAGTTTTTTAGGGGCCAGGAGAGCAATGATGAAGATAGACCTTTCAATTACATGGAGAGAAATTAAAGAAAGCCACACAAAAGAGGAAGAGCCTGAGGAGTATCCTCAATGACCTTCACAGTTAAAATTCTTTTTTTCTAAGCTTCTCATAACCAACTGAACAATTTCCAAGTTGCAATGAAATAAGCTGCATCATTCATACGGGAACACTGCTGAACTACACTGAAGACATTTACAATGTCGGACCATATTTTAAAAACACATCTCAGAAATCAAACAAGTGGCACTAGTACCATTGCTTTTTCCATGACAATAGATATTCTGTCTCTTGGAATCTTATCCCAACCCTGATCATACTTTCAAGAACAGAAAACTGCTGCAGACTACCTTGAAGTGCCCTTTACTAGCTTATACTATTCTAGTCCCTGCTTTCTTAAGGAACCCTACAGTTCTTAAAAAAAAATAATAAATAAAAATCACTAGAATTGGGAAAAACAAATTCAATTGAGAAAATGGACTTTTTCATTCTCTCAAAGGTTCATTTGATTTCTTGTCTTTAACTAACTCCAAGCAGTTTTCTAGTTAAATCCAAAGCCTCTGGAAAAATCACATATCCAGATCTGTGAACACAATCTGTGAACTTCTCTTTTGCTACGGAAAATTTGGACACAGATACTGACATTTTAGGATGTAAAAGTTAGTAAAAGTAGAACAGATAGAGACTTCCTATATAGCTGATTATATTGCCAGAAGCATAAAAACTATTCCATACTTTCCAAGTTGAGAACTAAATTACATGATTCAGTGGTTTACATTCAGGAAGATACTCAGAAGACTTTTCAGAGCACTAAACAGAAAGGGTAGATTTTTCTTCTTTTTTTTTTCTGGATTTATTCAGTTTTAACTTCAGTAAACAGCAAACAAAGCAGTCAGAGGTTTTATAGCAGTGTTCCTTCAGTCAGCTCGTCTTCGAGTGATGTGAACTGTATGTCTGACAGACTGTATAAAGCCAAGTAGAACAATGCTAAGAAGTAAGAGGCCAGCTCCAGGCTGAACACAGTATCTGCTCATTCAAGTGCAGTATAGAAGTTTTAAGGCTTTCTAATGTATTTTTGTTCTTATGTTGAAGGAACCTGCTTTTATTGTGATGATAAAAATACTCACACATCTGTCACTGATGAAGGAACATTCTCCTCTACCCACTTCAGGTCATCCTCCTGCTACAAGTACAAAAATGAAATAGAAAACAAAAGTCAGTTTTCCCAAAATGCTGTCACATGCAAGCCATTTTCAGCCTACTTGACAAAAGCAGTTTATGTTAGTTCAAAAAAACTAACCTTCAACTTTATTTCTGGATTATAGAAAACACATTCCAAAAGAAAAAAAAAAACACCTATAACTTACTGTCATCTCTAAATTCTAATGGTGACTAAGAAAAGCAGGTCCTCAGGACACACTATTTACATAAATCTAGTTTAGTCTCCCACAGAAGAACATTATCTTTGGAAGATGTTACACACAACAAATTACTACAAGCTAGATTTTGCAAAGGTAAGTTAAACTGCATTGTCAGGATTCGTCATTTCTGTCTGATGAACACTCTCTAATTCACAACACAAGCACACTTGTTCTGAGGTTGGAGAACTGACCCTTTCTGATCCCCATCCCCACCCCCAAAATAGAAATGTTTTAATTTTCATGTTACCCTTAGATAAGCAGTATACAGTTGCAACCAACCTTTGAGTAAAATAGTGTTAACAGCAAAAATATTATTACTATCATTAATTCCTACAGGTTCTTTCCACTTTTATGCATGAATTTATGCATAAATTCCTTGAAAAGACAGACATTTTCTACCTCTTCACTGAATGTGAAACCACCTCTCCCTGTAAGCCACATATATTAAAAATGTTCCACCCAAACTATTTAGGGAGCTATGTAACAACATACACATCACCCTATTCTGAGTAATGAATCACAAATCTCAAAATTAGAAGGCAATTTATTTAATATATGGCTCAGCCTCCCTCTCATCTGATAAAACTTGTTAAAACAATGCATTATTCATTATAAAAATATAGTATTAAACAATTCTATACTGTATAATACTGAATCTGTAACACAGCTATACTGGATTTTGCAAACATTCCTAAAGAACAGTCTGAAGGACCTATATCCCTCGAGGTAGGGAAGGCGTACTCACAGCTTTGTTTGCTTTTACATTCCCATTTGGTTCTTGCTTTGTACTCCTCATTTTCATTCCCTCTGAAGACAAAAGAAAAAAAGATTGGATAACTGAACTATTCACTATTCAGACTGTAAGTGAAATTGTCAAATGTTGACTCAGAATATTTTCTTAAATCCAGGGAGAGAGTAACACACAAGTTAATCATAAAGACAATGCTTTCTCTTTGAAAGGCTTGTATCTTTCCTGACAGGAGGGAGAGTACCTGGTTTTACCAATTTTACCTAGGCAATACCTATTTCTTGTCCTTTTCTTTAAACCAGATGTAAGAAGCATAGAACTCAAAGATATAGTTGCCAAAAGATGCTCTGGAATCCCCAATCCTTGGAGATACTCAAAAGCCATCTGGACACGGTCCTGCGCAACCTATTCTAGGTGACCCTCCTTGAGCAGGGCCTTTGGACAGAATGACCTTCAGAAGTCCCTTCCAATCTGAACCGTTCTGAGACATACACAACTCCAGTGATTTATTTTACCTACTGACTGCTGACTAGCCACTTGATTTAGTTAGAAGCTAAGTAGTAACAGAGATCTCTCAGGCTGGCAGATCCCTAGATATAGCTGATGTGGCAAATGCACCCAAGGGATTACACACTCTTCCTCAGCTCCTGAACAAGTTAAAGAGCACTGCCATATCCTAGCAGAATGGATTTGTGGACAGAAAACAGCAGTGAGTATGTAACCTTAACTTTTACATAACATAACAATTACATAACAACAGTGCTACAAGGACAACGGACAGGGAGACAGAGGGAAGAGAGCAAGTTTTAAAATAGGAAGTAGGTGCATGGAGAGGAAGATGCAACCTAGTGTTACTGAGCAGGACTCTTTCATTCATATGTAATGCCATGAATATGTAAACATATTCATCCACATTTACATGGGACATATCTGTACTAGGCCCTAATATGGAAAAGGAACAAGATTGCAGTGTTCAGAGTAGATAAACAAAAAGCTTAAACTGGATTTTAAGAGAGAACTGTAAACTACCACCTAGCAACAGTATCTGAGAGATCCTTGTCATCATGACTGGACCCATGACTTGAAATATTTAATAAAACAAAGTCCAGAGGACATGGTAAAGCACCCACAACAGTAGCAATGTGTTCAGTGTTATCTGAAACCCCCTGAATTAAACAGGCAATGTAAACACTAAACATAAAGCCTGTGTTTCCTTTACAACTGCATAAATCAATGGCAACAGGGAGGCGCTGACTCGGCTTTCACAGCAGTCACCAGAGAAAAAGAGACTTTCTTCTACCAAAGAATCTCTTCAACAATGACATTAGGTGGAAAATATTTTTTCTCCTACCAAAGCTTTCCTTTAACATTGGCTCTTTCTGCTCATCATCATCCTCCTCTTCAGACAGTGGTGAAAAAGCAAACCTTTAGGAGGGAAAGAATGAAAGTTATCTTAGAATAGTATCTCTTGCCACTCAAGGGATTAATTACCCCAACATTCACATGACTCAATTATTCTGTGTAGTTCACAGCTTTTAAGACCTATGCTGAACTATATAAGCAAAAGTTTAAGCCACTTCTTTTCGAATAAGCTCACCACCAGGAACAGACTGAATCTTATCTATGTGACTTCCTACATTTACTTTTCCTCAAGCCCCTACATACACTGCTTAGTATTCTTATGGATCAGTTTACAGCAACTAAAATAATTCACCAGTACTTCTTTGGACAAACAAGCCTTCCCAAAAAGCAGTATTTTTAGAAAGAAGTAAGAAAAGCAGAACCTTTGGTTGTTAGCAGATGGTCTCCACAGAATCATAATGACAAAAAGGATCATTGAAAACAGTAAACGCCAGATGGCATCATCCACCCATAGCTCCTGCCAGTCCTGTCAAGGAAAACAGTAGCACAAATTTAAAAAGTTCTCATGAAAGACTTCATATTACATTAGACATAATCTATAGAAAAATCTGTTCCATAATGTCCAATCACACCTCTTACACTGCCAAATGCAAACTTATCAAGAGGCAGAAACTGCAAAAGCATTCAATATAAACTCACCGACTGACAGTCCACCAGCCTGAACTTCATGGTAGTCCAGATGATAAAAACAATAGATGCTGCAATATTAAAAAAACAAGCTGCTTATTAGTACAAAATATGCTAATCCTAGGACCTACTAATGGGACTCTATTTCCCACACAAAGGGCAAAGACCTAAACAGTGAATTCTTGGAATCCAATTTATTAGTTTTGGAAAACAAGATATTGGTTTATTTTACTGACTTTATATGGTAATTTAGGCTTAGACCAGTATATTTTACTCTTGGTTCTTCACAGACACGAGGCATAAACCAAGTATAAAGTATTTAGCCAACTCCTCATCCCTATTCACTATTCTTATTTTATTTTCATCCAGTCTCCAAACCATGGTTTCCTTATCAGTTCACAAATAAAGCCTACCTTGAAGTAACTGAACTGCCTGAAAGCCTAAACATTCAGATCTTGACCTGCAAAAGTTCCATTGCTCAGGCTATGCTCTCACCACAGTTCTAGAAGATGAGACTTTCCTTCCATTAGGGCATTCTATGACAAGAACCCAATGCTGACAGGAATTTAATAACAGCAGTTGATTAAAAGGAATGCACTTGTTTGTTTAAATAAAGTACAGTCCTTTAAAAGTTTTCTGCTCATTGTATGGATAGCATTTCCAAATAGATGAGGAGCTGAGCACCTGGAAGCACCAACAGATTTATTTTTGAAGTTCAGTTTATCCCTGCTACAAATGGAAAGAGAATCTGAATCTGTATTCTTCCAGAATAGGCCACTGTGTGACAATACTAACAATGCTGTTTTTCTAAGAATAACTTTGGTCTTTGGACAACATAAAGATCTAACAGTACACCATGATACTGAGATTTTGGCAAAAACTACCTCTGTGAGGTTAAGAGCATAGGATAGTAATCTTTTGCCCTCAGCAGCTTTAAGAGGGAGAAAAGTGCTCTTTTACAGGAGCTGCACAGAACTACTGATCTTAAGATCAGGACTAATATCCAACTGCCTCTAAAGTATCAACATTTTGCATGAACCCACTATTAGGAATGGGTCAAGTGTTAGAAATACCAAGTACTTTGATTGTATTTACGGGAAGGTCACCAAACTTGAAAACCTGCTTTAGCAATCAAGTCAAGCCATAAATATATATATAAATGACAAGTGTTCTTATTTGATTAATGTAATTTTCTGCTTACCTGCTACTGCCAAGATGAGCGTGTTGGTGAAGTGCCGATACAAAGACAGTTTCACAACATTCCTTCGAAGTTTCAGCAGTTTCATTGTTTGAGTCAAGCTGATGAATATGTATAGAAAGTCAAGGAAAGTCTCTAAAGGAAAAGCTGGTCACAGACTTCGGATGCAGATCTTATGACCAACAGCTCTCCCACCCACACACTTAGCCCTCCAAAATGGCAGACAAGACTCAGCAGAAGAAAGGTTCATTCTATGGCAAAGGTATCAAAGAGCAGGATCCATCCCATTCATGTTATTTTATCCTCTGCATCTAGAATTCTTGTCAAGCAAAGATGGTACCCAACCATCCATTTTGGACTATGGCCCATTAGTCCAGAAAAGTGTCAGATGTATGTATAATAAATGGAAAATCACGTCTGAACTAGAAGCGAGTCAAAATCCAGTTAGTGCATAAAAGTGTCTTCACTCCTTTGGTACCATTTTTTTTTCCATAGTGACAAAACAAGGAGAGACATCATGGTAGGAAAAAGTTAGGATTATCATAGCTGGACAGCAAGCTACTCACAGTTTTAAAAGTTTTGTGATTGACTTTTGCTAAAAACACTTTTATAGGGATTTGGCTATACATGGCCCTGGGTTCAGCATTTGACAGCAATTCCTAAAGTCACACCAAATTATGGCAATTTGGATGTAACATGTCAAGACACCAAAAAGTTAACACTGCCTTTTTGTCACCTACCTCAAGATGAGTTCAAATTTTACAGAAGTAATTTCAGGTTTGATGTTGCTAAGCAACCTTCTCCCCAAAACAGAAACTGAGTCTGTTCTCCAAAGGCTACATTACAGGGCTACATGAGAACAAGCTGATTTCATACTTCAACAACCAGACTGGTAACAGACAGACTTCAATAGTCTGTATGTCCAGGAGTTACTCTAACACAGACATCTACTGGTTATCTCATTTTCCTTGTACTGCCTCTGTACCAGAAGCTTTCCTGAACACTCAGTTACAGAGGTTCTATTAACTTTACCTGAAGTAGAATATAATCTTGAAGTTGATTTTTAAAAGTTCAGCCAAAAAGACTCCCAAAAAATAAATCTGAAAGAAAACACACCCCACCAAGTAAAATAGTGAAGGATATCCACCAGCACAGGGCAGTGTCTAGGAAAGCCAGGGGAATAAAAGCCAAGGAGGCAAGATCATTCTGGGCCTGGAGACAAAGAGAGAGCCAATAAGAACAAACTGAAAAGGAAACAAGGTATAGAAGAAGAGAGGAGGGTCAGGCTATTTTATCAGAAACCACAAACACTCTACCACAATGCTTCTTAGTTTTACTACGGAAGCAGAGGGTTTGAATCAGGAGTTTAGCCCAATGCACAGAGGGAAAATTGACAATATCACATTGTCAGTTCTCCACCAGCAAGGCAAGATGATTTTTTTTTCCAGATTAAGTCAATCTAGCACCATTAAAAGGAGCCTCTGCTGAGGCAACTGCTGTGATGATGTGCTCTGGCAACTTTCATTTCAGAAAACTAGCCATCAACTTGTTATAGAAGTAGTAACTAAATCTTTTTACACTATTCATGGACAAACTGAATGCTCTACTGGCAACCATGAGTTTGACTGAAAGTGGAAAAAATTGCTCTTTTGGGTACATCAAAAACTATCCAAGTCCCAAATGAAACAAGCAAAAAGTTTAAGACAGAAATAAGCTGCGAATAAGCTTTTAACACCCTGCAGTTTATGAAAGGATATCCACAAAATAATACAGGCATCAATCAAGGACAGGGCCAAGTTTGCTATCAGAGCCACAGTGTCATAGAAAAACTGGAAAAGTACCAAATATATGACATGTTAAATACCTTATCCCAAAATACCAAAAACAGAAAAACAGAAATCTACAGCCTGAGATGGGCTTCTTAAGTAGTAGCACCACTAACATGCACTTACTCCCCCAGTTACAGCCTCCTAAACTGAAGTGGTTATGGTTTTTTGTTTTTATGTTGTTGCTTGGATGTTTTCTTAAACTCATGGCCAGGTGACCCAACCTGTACATTCGTGTCTGCATCTAGCCCTACCTAATCCAAAGTACTTAGACACAAGGGTCCAGGTGTCCAAAACCTGACTAATCAGAAAACTATTAGACTTATATCAAAAGATATGGAAATATATCCTGATAAATAAAGAATACATCAAACTTAAAATATTTGTCAATAATCCATATCCACAGTCTCAGAGTTTGACCACTTCATTGCCTCTGTTTCCCTTTCAGCATAGCCCTGGGATTCCCCCTTAGCACGTAAGTAAAGGCAGTAGCATATGGGAAAATTCAAGGAGTTTTTACTGACCCCTGTGACTCTAAGAACACCTTCCATGCCAGAAAATAACAGATAAAGGGCTCCAGCCATAACTACTTTGTGAAGAGTAACTCCCAGACGAGGCCTGTAGGAAAACAAACAAAAGTTGTCATGTCAACTTGAGTCTAACATTAGGCATAGAATCATAGAATCACTTAGGTTGGAAAAGACCTTTAAGATCACTGAGACCAACCATTAAACCTACTCTCCCAAGTCCAGCACTAAGCCATATCCCCAAGTGCCACACCTAGACAACTTATAAACATATCCAGGGATGGTGACTCAACCACCTCCCTGGGCAGCATGTTCCAATGCCTGACAACCCTTTCAAGTGAAAAAGTTCTTCCAAATGTCTAGTCTAAACGTGAAGCATTTGAATAAAAAGTCTGTGGCAAGCCACTTCTAGATGCAGAAATTAGGGTGCTCAAAGCTTACTATTAATTTTGTCTTATGCTATGTTCTAAGGAAGATACTGATAACAGTGCTGTTTTCTAATTAACCTGTTTAGCTGTTTACCACCATTTCAAGAAGTCTCAGCGAACCTTTTCATTCCCCCAGCGCATCCACACTTAGCAGAAGCTTCCACTACCACATAGCATGATGTTTTCACATCAAATACAGCTGGGGGCAGATGAGCAGCAATCTTGGCAGCAGAAGCCTCCTAAAGCAGATCCTCTCCCTTAACAGTGATTCTTGGCCTCCCCCATTTCTAGAAGCCCTTTCTTGCCCAGAAGGAAGGGTTATAAAGCTCCCACTCCAGTCAGTGGAGTATCTCAACAGTGACTCAGAAACCTACCCAACAGTAATACATCAAAGGAAGTGGGAAGAGTAACCACCGTATGGAATTGTATGTCTCTGTTGACTAGTGAAGAAGTCTAGACCTTTGCAGCAGTTACCTAAAGCACCTACCTTTTAAGTAGCAGTGTACAGGGAAATCAATTTATCAAAAAACAACACTGAAAAGCCTATTAATAGAACACAACAAACCTGTAACAGAATTACTCACTTGACTATCCCATATCCCAGGCTGACTATGATGACCAGAGTTCGAGCCAATGAGCGCTTCACAGCAGAAAGCAGTTCTGCCAGTATTACTGCCCCTTGAACTAAAAAAAGCACAGAGAAGTAAACTGGGTTATTAAAATATAATTTCTGTTTATTAACTACTGCAAGCAATCTCAGTATGAGAGCAGACGAATTATTTTCAGAAAGTAGGCTATTAAAGTATATAATCTTTTTATTACCTACATCTGGCATACGCATTCAGAAAAGATAGGACACTTAGCATAAAAAAAAAGCTACTGAATAATTTTACATCCATAAAAAGTGGAGAGTAAATGATTCATAAAACATTTTTCCATTAGATCAGCCTGGATGATCTTCCAAACAAGTCAACCAACAAAACCCTCTGCACCATGGTTTTGGCCAATTAATTAATAATCAAGTTTTACTTGCAGAGTTTAATTTGTATGCATTTATCCCAAAAACTCAAAACCAGAGTTCTAAATTTTTATATTGAGAGAATAATTTAAGACAGATTATTAGGCTACGGGCTGAATACCAAAAGTCATCTGCAATGCACTCACACTGAACAAGGAGTTTCAAAGTCCCTTTCCAAGGCCAATACCAACTGTCAGAAATGAATTTCAAGCTACATTTAGGAAATCTTATTTTAAACTTCAAGCCCACACTACAGTGGATACTCTCCAGAAACTAGCATTTTTTCATCCTTAAGACACTACACTTAAGAGTCAGAGAAAGCAAAAGCATTTCAGCTTTAGAAAAACACAGATTATAATTTTTACAGTATATTTAAAAACACAAACTGTGGTTCCCTGTTCTTTGTTTTTAAACAGTTCTCAAGTAATTATATACTTAATAACCATATACATCTGTCATCCCAATTTAGCATAAGCCATTAGTGCTATGCCCCATCAACTCCACTGCAAGGTGCAATTGCTACCTACCAGATTCCCCTGTGTAACGGATATTCTGGAACTCTGCATAGAAAACTGCTTTCTCGAGCATTCCCAGGAAGATAACAGCACCAATCCAGAACTGAATCCTCAGGAGATCCCGCCAGTAACAGGCCGACCATGCAAGCCACAGAACCCCAAAGAATACGTACACAATACACATCACCATGAAAAACTGTTATAAAAAAAAGCACAACAAAAAACAAGAAATAGGAACCTTAGACCCAGTAAAATAATTTCCTTATTTCAATTCCACAGCTTTAAGACAGGTCTATTTTCTCCAGAAGTGTAGCAACTTTTAAGTTTTTATTTACAAAAGTGACATGAAACAAGCACTGCTTCATTTGTCTTCTCTGGACTTTTTTACCATGACAGTCTATTTTCTCACTGCCAACAAAGGGAGAGTAACTGAATTTCCAAGCAATTTCTCTCTTGAAGAGCCATCTGCCAATTTATTCACAGGCAATTCTTCTAAGGAAGATATCAATGCTACTAGCTTTCACAAATTCAGAGAAGAGCTCAAGCAAACCATCAAGTACTAGAAAACCTGCCCCTTCTTGCCTAATTTTCTACTGCTACCTTCATCATACATTTACAGTACTCTGCAAATAATCTTAGAAGTCACCTTTACACACCATTCCACAGAACAGAGATAAGCAACTGATGGTTATAATCCCTCTGTTCAAATAATTTGGCAACTTCTCTCAAAAATTATTTTCCAGCAAACTCAGTTTTTGACCAAGCTTTTGGTGAGCCAAAAATCTGGAATTTAAAAAGAAACCCAGATATTCATTTAAATATTATCATTTTGTGACCATTTTTTTTCAGTCCAGTGTTACTTGCTTCAGAAAAGCTTTAAGGGTACGTATTTCCTATGGCAAACAATAAGCTTGACAGTGCTGCTAAGTGTTGAATTTTCTAAATGATAGCATCATATCAGAGCAAGTTAAGTTTTCAAAAAGGACACTAAGATTAAGAAGACGGATGAGAAGAAGAGAGTAAGACATTAAATGAAGTACTTAGCCAAGTGTAGAACAATAAAAATCATGCCGTCTCCTCTTGCAGGGGGTAGATTTTTTAAACCCAAGCAAGCATTGAAATTAGCTGTCCAATCCATTGAAACACTCACAAACAGGAAACACCTTCCCTTAGGAGAACAGCTTACTGATCTTTACAAATTTTAACATCTGACTATCCGTGCAGTTCAAATGGTAAGGACCTAAGCATGCTAGTTCACATTTACATGCCCATTACAGAAACTTTTAGACAGAGATGCTTTTCGGGACCTGCCACGTGGGGATATTCACACTAGTGAATTACATGCCAAAGCTGCTGGAGGGCTTTTACTGCTTCAGGAAGTAAAACGTTTCAGAAATGCCATCAGGCTCTCCTATTTACAGGTCACGCTTGCCACTACAGTCAGGTTAGAGACCTCACTTGGTATCGATCCCCAGCTAAAGGCTGTCTAAATTACATAAATATTTAAGCTCTTCTACTTTCTTATCTTCCTCAACAGAGGCAACTAGTATCGAAGTCAACAACTCCTTTGAATAAAACAGATTAGCTTTTTGTAGTTCAATGATGCTTTCACTGTTAGGCAGTATCAGGGATCTCTTCGTGGGATATAAAACAGCTGCTTGAGGAAGGAAGATTAAGCAGTAAAAGAACGAAGAAAGCAGTGACAAATGAAAAGGCAGCTGTGAATAAAAGGAGAGAATAGCAAATTTTCTCAGATATGAGCTAAGGAGATAAACAGAGTCAGTAACACTGCTCTGTTTAGAGCCAATAATTCTGATAACTTCTGAAACTATAAGCAATCCAGAAAAGGACAACATTAGTGGCCTATGCAAACATCAAAAATCTGTCCTTTTTCTCTGCATTTAGTTACAAAAACAAACAAACAAAACAACAAAAAAAACCAAACCAACCAAACACACACACAAAAAACTAACAAAAACAGAACACAAAAAACACCCAAACTTAAACACAGCCTCTGCTAAATTATTTTTTCAGGGACACTGGCTTTGTGTTTTCTGAAGTATGGAAGAAATGTACTTAATTGAAATACAAATCAACTGACAGCTTTTTAGATCAAAGAAAAGCTATTTTACTTACAATCATCAGAGGATAGTCTGCAAGTGAAAGATACTCATACGGCCCCTTCAGTTCTACCGTCACTGTCAAAAGACAACCCAATAACCAAATTGAAAAAGAACCAAAAGGAGAAAGCCAGGATAAAGTACTTCAGGGATTTTTACTCAAGCTTAAAGAAATGCCAGATCTTCACACAGCTTTTAAATCTAACTTGCACTTTCATCAGAGAAGTTTAAGACTCAACGCACTCAGCTAAAACCATGCTCCATTACCAAGTAATGCATGGCAGTACCTAAAGTGAAAGTAATTTGTGCTTGAGATTCATGCATAACAGCAAAGTTCAGAAACACATGTAAGGTAAGTTTTAAAGGGGATTTTCAAACTTCTCTGAAGTTTGAGTATGTTATCAAAGCACTCTTAGAGCTACAATAATATTATTTCAAGGTGATAATTATGATCTTTGTTTTCTACATTGTTTGAGATCATTGATATAAATCACTGTGTTGGTTTGGACATTTTTGGAACACAAAAGCAAGCCTCAAAATTGAGCTGCTTGGGATTCTTATTTGCTTCTATCATTAAACTGACAGGCCATCAGGCTTAGGATCTTCAAGACACTAACAATCACCTATTTTCTTATGTTAAAAAAAGAGTTGTAGTAAGTAATACTTAAATCTCTGCAAAGTGAAAGATAGTATCTTAAGAAAATAAGCCGTCCGGTATATCTTAAAAGTACTTTAGAATACACTCAATATACATAAAAAAACAGTACTATATTTTTAGCTTACTGTATAAAATAAGCTATCTTACTTGTAAAGGGCTTATTTTGATCTGAGGAAGGTGGTGTTTTCTCCGTTCTTTTAACATTAGTATTAGAATCCTTAACTTCAATAATAAATATATATGGCCCATCTCGCCAAGTTTTCATAACTGCATTCATTGTCTGAAAAGAAAAAGCCTACATGTAGACAGAGCATAGTCAAGAAGACAAAAAACACAGAAGTAGACTAGCCATATATGGACTATATCTTCCATGTAAAAATAAGTGCATCTCTTCCCAGGCCTAAAACTTGTTAATAAATATTTTATACGTAATTTTTAAATCTATTTATTACTATTGTTATTAGACAATACTTAAAATTTAGCTGTTTTAATCCAGAAGAATCCTCAAAAACTTGGGAGGTGATCAGGGCTTATCTGCACACGTCACACTGGCTTAGTGCAAGTGTCATCACAAAGGTATTGCAAAAGCTACAGAGAATTCAGCAAAGCCTCCTATTCCTTGCTTTCAGTGTAGAAGCATTAGGACCATCACAAGAGATACTTCTTTCCTCCTGAAATTGTTTGGCAACAGCACAGCCACATAAAACTCAGCTCCCTGGTGAAGGCTGATTTTCATAGTGTAAGGCAGAAGAGGTAGATGAGAAGTAAAAATTTCCATTGCAGTTATTTCCTGTGGAAAGTGCTACTGCCCTTGCAACAGGTATCATACCTGTAAGACTCAAACCCTGCCAATGAACTAGCAGAGGAAGCTTGCCCAGATAAGGATTTGTACTATAAAATCAATCAGATCTCAAAACTTCCACATATGCAGAAGTTCTAGCCATCTCAGAAACTACAATATTTACCAATAACTTTAAAGGTAAAACAAAAACTATCTACACGTATGCCACTCATATGACCACTGCAGAACCACCACAAAGACTTGCTATAACACCTTCTTCAAGAGAATTTCAGTATTAAAAGCATGTTTTCTTTTAAGAAACATGCTGACTACAAGACCTAAAGCAAACAGAATTTTATGTATCAAAAAGATTTTCTGCTGATATTGACTGAAATTACAAGACTTGGTTAAAAAGATAGTAAACTTAAAATAGGTATCTTTTTATATACCAATTTTGCCTTTAAAATATCTCCATCTCTTGCTGCTTTGATTCCTTATTTCACAAAAGCACACAGAACTACTTGTTTTACCTTTAAGGTAAATGGCCCTGTAAGTACACAGAGAGTTAAATACTATTTCTTTACAGGCATCCAGAACATTATTCAATCTGAAGTTACTTTGAGAATCATTCCTAGATGAGACTTGAAAATTACATATAATAGAAATACTAACAGATTTGAAAACCAAAAGTAACCACTCAACTTGTGTACAATGTTCTGAAAGCTTGACTAGTTAAAGATGAAAACAAATTTAATCTCTAAGTATCAGTGACCACTTAGATCATACTGAAAGTACTACAAAAAAGAACTTTTTTTTTTAATTTATACAACCAGATTAACCAGTATGAGTTCTGTATTTCAGCTACAAAAGAAGCAGTTACCCTGTTTCTGTTAGTCTGTTTTCTGCTTTTCCACACAGAGCTATCTAGTTTCAACTAAACAGCTGAAACAACCCCAAAACAGGTGGCAAAAAACCAGAGCTGCATGATCCCTGTAAATGCCACCAGAAATTTCTTATGCAAAGAAACATAAATTTAGAAAAAACAAAGAAAAGAAAAAAAAACAAACAAACCACAAACAAATTAAGACTGCTGGACTCCAAGCCATGTTCAAATTCAATATACATACAGGTTTATCTGCCACCATTGTGTGATTTCCTCCACTCTCCTTCTTTTCTTTTAGTCCCTAAAAGAAAAACATAAAAATGGATAAAACTATATGGCAAAACTATCTGTTCCATGCCTACACTCACCCATCAGAAGGGAAAAAAAAATACCTCTTGTTTGTCAGGTGAGAGAGGCTCTGGATGAACAAATTCTTTATAGAAAATCTGCAAGATATAAAAAAGGTACAGCATTTATAACCACTTTATATTAACATGGCATTACTAGAAACCCCAGGAAACTTGATTATAAGGAAAGATTCTCTAAACAGCTGTATTAGAGAACATTCATTTTTCTAAATCAAACAACTGCCCCTTTGTGGAGGAAGTATTGAATACTTAGATTAGTATTTTGTTATTTGAGAGCAACTTTTTCCGCCCTCTCCAGACAACAGGTGACTATTTTTAGAACTGAACCCACAGACATGACAGTAGCAAAATTCATTTCCCAAATACAAATTTGTTGACAATCTCCATTAGTAGATGAAGTCTATGCAGACAGAAACAGGATTTGGAGATTTCTGCCTTAGCCTATGCAAAAAAGGTCCCTAGATGAGTGTCTAATTAGAGATCCAGATTTTGCAAACCCTTCCAAACAAACTACGGTGACTTGAAATCTAGTGGAAAAAAAGCTGAACAATCAAAAGGAAAAATTGCTGTGAAACTTCAAAATTAGTATCTGAGAGGAATATTTTGTTTCAGTTTACTTTTCAAAGGGATTACAGAAAAAGTCACTTAAAAATCTGTTTCATCAACCTGAACATTCAGTTAAGACACCCAGGTTCACATTACAAAGTTAAGCCCATAAAATCTCTTCCATAAAACCATGAAGAACTGACATTTCTCACATTAGACATAACAAGCAGGCAGCATACAGATAATTTAAAAAAAAAAAACTTTCAAGCCATACCTTCACATATCAAAGGAATTAGAGATTTACAGATTATTAAAAACCCTTTTCAAGTCACCTCCAGGCATGTCTTAAATTTAAAGCCCAAACAAACAAAAACAATTGAAAAACCCCAAACTAACACTAGATTAAATAAATACAAGACAGACATTTCCCACTACTCTCTATTCACAACCCTTGGTCTAAATTGGAAATGGTGGAATGCAGATGCAACACTGCACAGTTTGCCTTGAAATTTTAAGTACACCATTAAAGAAAGACTGTGTTCCATGGATATTGTAGTTTGACTGCACATCTTCAGCTGGTGGCACACAGCTGCTGTCGAGCCAATGCTTACTCTTTACTTCCCTATGCTGTTTTGCATTGTCTTCTCTTTCATTTGCTTTGTTTCAAATACATTTTAGCACTGCTTATTTTTTGTTTGTAACCTGCTATCAGTGCTTAAGTAACCCATTTCTCAACACTTTTGCATTTCCATTTTAAATTAACATTATCTGAGAAAAAAAATGCCAGTCCTTTATCAATCCAAATCTAGTGGGAGTTTCACTCTAGAGCCAGAGATTCACATTCTACTCAACTACCAGTAGCCTTCTCTAAGTGAAACACATTCAGAATACAAAACCACAAACAAAAAAGCAGCACTGAATTTTACAGTGGTTTCCCTCTCCCCATGTGGGCCAGCTGTTGAGGAGCAAGCCAGAAGTAAAGCAAAAGAAATTATTATTGCAGTTTGGTTGTGACAAACAGATAAAAACAAGTGCCTCCCAATCTACAGTGATACTTACATAGGATGCTAACACATCTCACAGGAACTACCACCTTCTCTGTATATGATATGAGAGAACAATGCAAACTGTGAAGATTCTATCCATACCTGAGGCCTGAAGAGCGTAGAGCAATTACGAAAGTGGAGAAAACCCGTGGCATAGTATCCTGACCAACCCGGATGTTCTTCAAATGTAGTCCCAAAATAGTTATCTGCCTGTTCATCCTGCCAGCCATAGAACAGAACTTAGGTTAGCATCCAATATATCAAATAGTTTTTACCAGTAGGCAGCTGCAAGACCTGGATAGCACCGTAACTCCTTTCTGCACAGACTCTTGTAAAGAATTTAATTGGATAAAGGTCATCAAGACAACACAGGACTATTCTTAAAAAAAATAAAAAAATTCCCTACAGGCTTTGAGTAAGAATTAATACCTAATTAAAAAAACCTAATGAAATCCCAGTATTCCTGCAGTGGACATGCAGCAGCCAGCATAAGCTTCAGTCTACACAAACAAACTCTACATTGTTATATTAAGAATTAAAGACTTCAGTACTGTTAGGTTAGTAGTCTGTCATAATTTTAAGTAAAAAATTAGTAAGTAAATAAATTTAAGTACACATGGGAAAGGAGTTAATAAACCACAGTTGTGATCTACAAAATTTGATAGAAACACTATACATTTTGTATAAATTGCTAATATTTGCAATGTGCATTCATAAAGAACAGAACATAAATTTTTGTTTGTTTGCTGTTATTAAACATTCTTGCAGATAATATTTTAATCTATCATAAACTCACACACTTTAGTTTAGAGTTGATGCACTTATTTAACCTTCTGGGTTTAGAAGAATTCTGACAAACACTTTCATCTTACCCCAGTCTCACAAGTCAGTAATGCCAGCAAGTGATTCCATTCCATATAATCCAGAAATTTGTTGTCTTCCAGTGGAAGAGCATTTCTTTTAGGCCCAAAGAGCAGTAAGGATGTGAGATAGGTTCAATCCCCTCACCCTCAGATCTGCTTGTCCCTAAAAATCATTACCTATGTTTTTCCACAAAATTCTTACCCCAAAGTTGAAGACTTCATTGTAGCAGTCAGAATATCTTAAGTACCAAGTAACATTGTAACTTTGGGAGGGATCACAAGCTTTTTCATCTCCTTCAACTAAAAAAATAAAAACAAAAAACAGAACATGTAAGACACTGTCAATCTGCCATGCCTTTCCTCCCATTCTGTGCCAAACTACTGTCATTATATCAATTTTAAACATTAAGCTGAAAGCAAAACAATAAAGAAACATTTTCCTCAAGGAATCCATTCTGTTCAGTGAAGGGAACAGCACGCAGAAAACAGAATCCCATCATAATGCCACTAAGTTCCATTAAAGACACAAAGATAATTTGGAAACTTCTTTTTATTCTCAAGATAATCAGTGATATTTGCAAATACCCAACAAGAGAACTGCAGCAACTCCCAGTGATAGCAACACACAAAATTATTTCCCTTTTCCAGATATTTAGAACATGTAACAGACAGAGATAGCTAAGAACAAATTAATACTAAGGGCAATTTTCACAGATAAGTTAAAAATACCAATACCATCACCAAGGAAGATTTTGCAACTCAACATTCACCCCCCTGCCCCACAGAAAAGACAAACAAGCCTCCTGTAGCTTAGTTCACTGTCAAAGCTGCAACGTTACCACAAACAGCAGTAAGGTAACTTGCTGCTTTGATTCATGCATGAAAAATTAAAACACAAGACTTCCCTCTGACCCCCCTCAGGAAAGAGCGTCTGGGTTTTGTGTTTCAATTCTCATTCTAAAATTAACACCTGAGAAAGAGAACTTGACATTAAAAAGATAAGCTTCACCTGTAAACAAAATGAGCAGTGATTTTATTCAGTCCTGAACAGCCATTTAGATTATTACATTTGGGTTTTTCCAGTAAACAGATGGCAGAACTCATCCAGCTGACAGCATGTTTCTAGTGGCTAACAAACCCCCACAACTTCACAGGCAACATTCATGTCAGCCTAGACATCCACAAATTTGTTACACGTAAAGAGCTTTTAATTAATGTTTCCCTATTGACCACTGCAGGTAAAAAATGCAATCAGAAAAAAAGACCCTGCTACACAGTCTTAACTGACTAATTCCATATTAAACTATGTGACTACTAAAGCAAGTATACGTAGAGCAAAAAACTCAACGGAGTCCTTAATACCAAAGTTATAAAAAAAAGAAATAGGAAAAAAATTTGGAATGCAGTCACTAAAAAATAAGTTTCCCTGTGATACCGTCTGGCAAGCATGAAAACAAGACATTCTCCACATAGCTCTAGGTGTTACAGAGAGCATGACGAAGACAAGCAGCAACACAAGCAGTGCAGTGACATGGGTAGATGGCAAATTCTTAGAAGACAAAGGGTCTTCTGATAAAACTGATCAAATGAGGAACACCTCAAAGAAGTGCTACCAAAAAATAGCAGGGATTAAAAAATACATTTTGAATACCTTTCTTCCTATTAAAAATAAATTATTGGAACTACGTTCTGCAGCAACACCAACTAAAGGTAAAATAGGCCATGACTAGACCCATCCACCAGTATCTGCAAACATCAAAATTATAGAAATCTTGAAAAGAAGGTACTCTAAAATTCAGAAAAGGCATCCATGGCATTTATTGAATACAGCAACATGGAAATCTAAGTTACTTGGCTTTCAAACAAAAGCAGCAACATTCAACTCAAATGCAGTCTTAGTATTAATTTACAGAAAGCAGGATTTCTCCTGAGATCCTAGACAGGAAGCCAGATGCCTTCTAGAATAACACTCAAGAAAATAAGTAGATAAGAATACATTTATTATCGACAAAACTAAACACCAAGAGCAGTCTTCCCTGTCAGAAGCAGAAAGCATCAGACACCAATGCAACACAAAAAAACTGACAACACCAAAAACAGCAAAAAGAAGAAATAAGGAGGAGATGCAGGTGCTCACCAAAAACATGAACAAACCATGAGCAAACATGCTTGGCTTGTAATGTCCACACAAACATCACAGAGCAGATGGAAAAGGCAACAGACAGCAAACAAAAGGAGACAGACAGGTTTCCACACAGACAATATATTATATATATATATGGTTATTGCAGCTGTACACCTCATGATTAGAGTTACCACATACTTCACTGCAAAAACCCACATCTTACTTAGATGCCACATTCATTTGAGTATACAATTTCTATTAAAATTCAGAGAACGCCTAACATCTACCAAAGCTCCAAATGCCCTTTCAACAACCCCTCCTTTTCCCCAAGCATCAGATTTCCTACATTTTGATCCTGCAGCTACACACTTGCAATTGTCCTGCTGCGAGCCATGAAACTCGGAATTTGAGCTACACTTGACAAGTGGGAAAACCTTAATCCTGATGTGATGGACCTTCACTAATAGCTGCTTTAATATTAGCCTCCTATCTTAGATTTATGTGGGATTAATGGAGGTGCTTTAACAAGCTGCCTTTGAAACACTGTCTGATGAAGGGCAGGTATCTGAAAACAAATGTGAAAATCAATATGGCTGGTAATAAACATAATAGAGCACAGTAATGCACCATTTCATTAAGAATGAACTAATCTTCATGATACTTTAATCTTCTCAGTTAAAAAAAAGAGCATAATCACTGCAGCAAATAAGTCTTGAAGTAAAAAATGCACAGATGCCATTAATTGTCTCTGAAGTGACTTATTTCCTCATTTGACAAGTGCAGAAAGGTATTGATGAGCACTGTATCTGTGTAACTAATCAATTAGCAGCTGGAGATGAAACAGCTTCCCCCTGAGCATCACGGTAAGAACTGGTGCAAGCAACCTCTTAAAGTGCTCAAAGTGTATGGGGAAAGATTTTAAGCTAGTCAGTGGCACGAGTCACCTGTGTCACCTTGCTGCCATCTAAATGCTGTTCTCATGTTCACAGATGTGAAGGTATTATGCAGAAACCCTCCTTTGAACAGCAATCTACATAACCAATAGCCATGGCCAGAACAGCAAAAAGCAATAAGCAGCAATAACAAATGGGAAGGATACAAACATGTTTACTGTGTAGCACACTTGTGCATCATGACCAGGAGAAAACAGCTCTTAAGAGCTCTGCCACAGCGTGCAACAGCATTCCCTCACCACTCTAGAAGCCCTGGCCAGAACAGCAAAAAGCAATAAGCAGCAATAACAAATGGGAAGGATACAGATATGTTTACTGTGTAGCACACTTGTGCATCATGACCAGGAGAAAACAGCTCTTAAGAGAGCTCTGCCACAGCGTGCAACAGCATTCCCTCACCACTCCTAGACGCACGCAGTTAAAGAGGGGCCTCAAAAAACACTGCCTCCTGCACATGGGCATCAGTCACCCTGCAACAGAACTAGTCCTGTCATAGTTGGCCCCAAATCTCCCAGCTAAAGGAATTTAGCATATCTTACAATAGGGAAGGTACACTGCACAATAGGGCTCAGCATATCCCACACCTGATTACCCACTATCTGAAATGAAGTCGTGCTCCCATTGCTCATTTTGCCCTCTACACAGAGAGCCTGAACAGACCCATTCATTTCTGCTACTGGCTAAACACATTACAATGGGTAAGCTTCAAGGCTATTAACACACCAAAACATATCAGAGCTATGGCTTTCATCCAGTGTTAGATTAGCTGTCACTGCAACCAGTGCAGTTAAACACTCCACAGCGTTTTAACTCCACACTGGTTACAGCAGAGGGGGTGCCAACCAGCAGAAGGAGAAAATTCCTTTTAACCACTTACATCTCAGGAAAATGGTGGTGTTGCTGAAGAGAATCTTCCCAAAGTTAAACTTCTTCCCCTGCAAAGGCACAAAAAAAGGAAGAGGTATTACTGGGTTTAATGTCACCAAGCTTAATTAAATATCATCTTCTACTCAGAGTTTAAGTCAATACAGCAATGGAAGTGAATGCCAAACCAGAAGCCAGCCTTACTGGATTTTCCAGTCATGCTTCACCACCCCTTTAGTCTATTCTTAAACATGGCTTGAGAGGCTTGGGGATTTTGCTCTGCAAAACTGAATCCATTTTATCACCACTTGTTGAAATGATTCACTTTTTTTTTTGTTTGCTTATGAGAAAGTCTGGACTACCCGACAAAAAAAAATATGTTCCAAAAATCAAAAGGAGTATTCAACGTGATCCTTTAATTAAGTTCCTGAAGCTCAAGAGCCTCACAGAAAAGGTACAGTCCTCCCTTCCTGAGTCTGGCAAGGACAGGTTTTACGTGAGGCAGAATCGCTTTTTTTCCCCACACGGAGCCAAACACGCCGTGTAACTGAAGCGCTGGGAATCCCTTCACCTGCCCAGAGACCCAACTCTCTCCGAGTTTAGGGTTCCAGGGGCGCAGCTTTCCCGACGCCGGGCCCGCAGCGCCACGGCGGGGCCGCCA